GGATGTGGATAGTGGTGAGATAGTTATACCTGGAGCAGACATTCCAAAGTAAGCAGAAGAAAGGTTGAAGGGGATGAGACAGGATGGATGGTGGAAAGGGAGGGGAAAAGGTATGGGCAACAATTCTGGGAAGTGTCAGGAGAAGCAAGGAAAGAAAAGGATGGGAAGCAGCAACAGGCAGTGAAGGACAATGCAGAGGCTCAGATACCCATAATGAGAGAGACTGCAGAAGTACCTAAGAATGCTAGAAACAGTTCATGTCACACAACCTTACAAGAGGGATATTTTAGAACCAGTTTAATTGTTTTATCCGTTTGTTCATTTCTTGTTATCTTATGTCAAATAGCCAACTCTCATGATTGTATTGTGAGTCATGATATTTTTTGTTTTTCTTAAAGCCCCAGCTCTTAGAATCATATAATTACATCAGAAACTCAGCTTTCATTTAAAATGGGGGGGGGGGGGGGGGAGGGAGTTCTAGCCCTAATGATTGCAGAGAAAAGCTTGAAAACATCAATCCTGAAAGTCTAACTCCTTGTAGTCTTGTGGGTGCTAGGTGGGGAGAGTAGGAAATCGGGGGTGGGGAGGGGGATCTGACTGATCGGAGTTGTGATCAGTCAGAAAGAAGATATTCCAGGTGTGCAAAAAGGTGAATTTCTCACTAACCCAAGACCAACTGTGGTCCAGGAAGTCATAAAGGGACTAAGAGGATGGTGTAAGACAAAGAAGCTCACCAACCCTACTGAAACTTACATCTGAACAAATGCATTCCCAAGTGCACTCACAAAGACCTCAGTGGCACCACGCTGTTGAATGCAAGTCTCCTCCTGGATCCAAACAGCATTTCAACAGTGAAAAGAGGGTTGTATGGATTTCAGTGGGATTGTCTGCAGGAACCAGGCAACTACATTTTGGTCCAATATTCTGTATCAGTATCAATTCTAGTTAACTGGCATACATTTACATATAAAAAAAATTAATTATTGATGTATTTTGCAAAAGAAATTGAGGGCTATACGCAAATTAGCAATACATAGTTACCAAATTACCAATAGGTCATATATTTGACCTATTATAAACGCTTTTGATTTTGTAACATTTTCAATCTTATATACGACTATACTGTATATTACTGTAATTACTAATAGGCCATTCATTTAGGACCTACAGTGGTTCTCCATAAGGGTACTTTTGAGGGATGACCCAAAAAGCTACAATAGTTGCTTCTTCTCTCAACTCCTCTGGTCTCCCTGTGTTCCGTGCTGAATCAAGTTGAAATGTGCCTGCGTGCAGACAGATGACATGAGGTCCAGGCACCATTTCAGCCCCATTTTGAGGATTTAATGGAGTCTTAAATGGTGCATAAGCCTTGTGTGGCCCCTATGAAAAACATAGGTGAATTTCACCCTCCATGAACAACTTTCTTACAGGCCCCACAAGGTGGGTAGTGCACCACTCCTTTGCCTCCCTCGCCAATGCACTCATCCACTGTGTCTGGGACTTATACAGGAGTATAATCTACAAGATCCTACAAGACTGGTGGCTGCTGGGGTGTGCATAGATCAACTTGCAGGATCAGAGTTTATTTTGCACATTTCATACCAGTAAACCTCAATTTAGATTCATGTTCTTTGGAAATTGCTAGCTCATACCTGTGGGCTCACATAATTGTTGCATTTCCACTTCTGACTATGTTCTTTTTTTGTTTTTGTAAAGTAGGCTGCATGGCTGTGGATACAGCCTATAACGACGTCACATAGCATCTGCTGTTATCCACCACACAGCTTTTAAACACAAGATCCAACAGCTGTGCGTCACACATACACATTGCGAGCACTGTGACGCTGCCATTTATCCACTTACATACCTCCTCCACTAATATTTATTTCACAAAAACAAATAATTTGATCTTAAACATCTAGCCAACTTGGCATCCCCCTCCCTGACATGATCTCTTTGTCCGATTAGGATCCTGTTATACGTGGGAGAATAAAAGCCGATTAATGAGCAGAAAGTATTCTGTAAGCCCATTCTTGTATAAATAATGTCACATTATCATTACACAATTATCTGAATTTTGGGAAGATAGCCCCAGGGATCCAGTCACAAAAAAGGCAAATCTTACTGCAAGTTTCCATGCATGTGGTATGCCCAGTTATTACATATAGCCACCTAACGTGACAACACAATAGGAAGTTCAAAGGGTTTAGTCATACACACTTTCACACAAACAAAAACCAATACAGGCATACAAAAAGAATAATTTTTGCAAGTAGTATAGAAGAGTCACAGTCACAAATGAGAGCTGCATGAATTCTAGTTTACTTGGCTATAAATAAATCTAATATTTGTCTTCTCTCCATGGTAAAAATAAAACAGGAGCACAGATGCATTACACTCTCCTTTGTGTAACCAGTCTCTCCATTTTCAATTATAATAATCAATCTGTTCCATATAAAATATTCCCCCCTCATTTAACCAAAGAAATCAGCATTATGCAGCAAAACATTTTGCTATAAAATAACGTAAATGAGAATATTCCTTTTTTGTGAATATAATTGTCCTTGAAAAATGTACGAAGGAAGCTAGTCTTTTCTTTAAAAGGTTTTCTGTAGTTGAAACAGAAAAAATACTTTACATTTATTTAGCACTTTTAATCAGAAGATCTCAAAGTGATTTTTAAAAGATGGGCATGTATTGTTTCCATTTTACAGACGGGGCAACTGCAGTGCAGAGGTTGAACACGAAATTTTCAAAACCAGACCCATGATGTGTCACTATTTGATTGCCCAACCAGAGATATCTAGCTCCTGATTTTCAGAAGTGATTAGCATCCAAAACTTCATTGAAATCAGGCTCTTTGTGCCATAATTTGAGCTTTCAAAATTAGTGGGCACTTGAAAATGTTGGCCTAAGTGACTTGCTCAAGATCACACAACAAGCCATAGAGAGCAAGCATGCTAAAAACAGAATCCAGGACTCTCAACTCCTGAGCTCTTAAAAAATTTACCTAGAGACATGGTGGATTTTCTGCTACTTACATGCTTTAAAATTAAGACCGGATGTCTTTCTGGATGAGCTACAGAATTTATCGTAGATGTTATGGGCTCGATGCAGGAATCACTTGGAGTAATTCTATAGCCTGTGTTACGTAGGATATCAGACTAGATCATCATAATGATCCCCTCTGGCCTTAAAATCTATAAATCCATGACTATGAAAATACTAGAAAATGTACTAGGAACAATCCTATGTTGGCAGACAGATAGAACAGATGACCTAATAGGTCTTTTCCATCTCAGCTATGAATTCAGCCACTGGACCACACTTCCTCTTATATATTTGGTGTGCGACTGGATCACCAAGGTACATATAATGGAAGTCCATTTGGCCAGCTAAATACCAGAGGATTCTAATTCTCTTCACCATAGGATAGCTCAGAATAGATGTATATCCAGTCCTGAACACCGTCCATCTGTTTGCTTGAAATGAGACAGCCATTTAATTAAATTGGTGGCAACTTAAAAAAAACATAAGCAAGTGATTTAAAGGCAGCAAAGTGGGGTAACTTTTGGACAGTAATTAGTCTACATTCGTAATCCCAACTGAAAGGCCAAAGGCTGAAGAAACATGGAAACAGAGATTTCCTATAGGCAAGAACTTAGGTATATTGGCAGATCAGTGTGGAAATACTTGAACCTGACAAAGCCTAAATTTGAGGACTGTGATCCACAGAACCTAGAAATGTCACAGACAATCTCAGCATTAGAAAAAAGTATAGCCCCTTTTTATTGAAAAGATAGTAATCATTTATTGAAAAGATAGTAATCAGATAGTAATCTGAAAGATACTATCTAAAAAGATAGTAATCAGATAGTAATCTGTTTTTCTTACTTATCGCCACAGACCACCCCCCCTCCCTCCCCCCCACACACAGCCTTTGAATTCAATTCACTATGGAGACCAAAGTGGGTAGACTATGATTAAATGCACTGGTATAGTGAATGCTTGCTTCCACAGAAAAGAATAAATATTTGCATTAAAAAAATCCAGATTATGATGATCAATAAAAAGTGCTAAAAAGACATATAAATTACGAGAAATACTTTAAAACATTACTTAACAATATTTCTTAAACCAGTCTATACACATTCATTTCCTATTTGCCACTTAGAATTCCTTCAGAAACCTAGCAAATGTAATAATGCATGGGTTAAGACTTCTGCTTAAACCTCAGGTGGTTAGTTTCCTAGCAGGGTTACTACACTCTCCCAAGATCATGCCACAAAGCAAAATACAGTAGAGTCATAAGACCATTTTTTTATCAACAAGCAATTTACCATTTCACTATCCTGATATGAGATTTCCAAGTTTTTTTCACTCCACATGCGGAAAACTGAAACGTTTTCCCACTATGGGCGATATGTTAGTTTGATTTTATTTTCCCTGACATTTCACCTGTCAGATTATGATAAATATAAGAAACAAAGAATAATTGTCACATTCTCGCTGAATTTAATCATCAAATATCTGGACACATTAAATAAATTGGAAGTGTAATCCTGAGGGAAGAAGACATGAATGCTGAAAACAGTGTCAGATACCCAAGTCATCTTCCAGGCACCCAACATTCTAATACAGGTTTAAAATACTCAGAAAGGGAGCCTGTACAGAAGAACCTTCACACTGTATTTTTTCTTCAGCTCCTTGTAGCACCAATGCCGTAGCAAGTAGGAGACAGAATTTTTGTACAGACGCAAGAGAACCTATATAAAAGGATGAAGATAAATACATTCTGTGAAACTCTATTTGCCAAAAACAATTATCATGCCAAGAAAAGGTAGCAGGTTATCATGATATAGCATAAACATATGCTAATTAGGTGGCAAAACGAAAAGATTCATGAGATAGAATCCATCAAACATAAACCTGAAAAACTGCATCCGCACTTTGCAGGTTCACAGTCTGTCTTGCTCTCACAGTGAGTCATAAAAACTTACCTGCTTGACCAGTGGTAATACTGACAGCTGCAAAGAGCCTCTGGGAACGGCTCAAGTCAGATACGCCATTTACCGCTTCCACTTCAAAAGTGTAATTAGCATGAGCCAGGAGGTCCAGGACAGTAACGTAGTTTTCTACTAATCCAGTTTGCTGGGGCATATATCCAATGTTACTCCCACAGGGAACACATTCACCCTGCTCCCAGCTGCACCTCTTGCACAAAATTCGGTAGGTCACATCATTTCTTCCCCCATTGTCGGCAGGAGGGCTCCATTCCAAACTCACAGTAGTCTGGTTGATATTGAAGATGAGGTTCTGTGGTGCAGATGGAGGTCCTTTGTAAAACACATAAAAAGGACAATGTAAATACATGAAATCAGTGAGGAACATTTACCTAGTGTTTTAATTACTGACGCTCAAACTAGATGAAGCATTTTTCTTCACATAAACATTTCATTATATTTACTACAAGCTACATAAAAGCCTCCTTGACCTCACTTGGCAAAAAGCTTTATTTATTTCCCATTAAGGAATCAGGATAACAATTGTCTGTGTATTTACTGCAACTGACTTTAGCAGTTTTCCTTCTGTGCAATTAAAAGGATCAGTTAACACACCTCAGAAGTTTACTCTTACAACATTTTTAGTATGGGGATTTTTTTTCCCTTTTAAACAAACAGCACAGAATGCATTTAGACAGTCCTTAATCAGATCTGATATGATTTACAACAGTATTTGGGTACAGCTTTGGATTTTGGAGACTTTCATTACTTGAACCACCAACCTGTGTAGGTTAGTCTATTTGCAGATGGAATGTTAAGCTAGATCCCATTACATTTCAATCAAAGTCCAAATCCACACAGGTTACTTTTCATTTTGCATTCAATTCATTTTTGTGTAGTATCATATTAGGCATACAGCCTGTGACAATTTTAAGACTATAGGAAAACCATGCTTGCATTCTTTCTGTTATGTCTAGTTATGTATTTACCCAGTAACTTCTCTTTCCCAAGGTTACATCGGGCAAACATGAAATTATATTTATGTTGATTCTATATTCAGTGTACATTTTCCCATTGCAGTTCAATTTAATTTATCAGTTTCATTTATTACTTTGCAAACATGCTGAAGACCAATAGTAAGGACTAGTGAGAACAAACTACAAATGGCTGTACCCAGTTGGTTAAGCAACGTCCTTCACTATTAAATTCATGACTGACTCACTTGTGCACGCAACATATGGTGGATCAGAAGGCGCTCTATAATAGCTATCATCACAATCACATCGGGAAGATCCTTCCTTGTCAGAGAAACTGTGAGTAGGACAGCGAGAGCACTGTAGATCTTGGGAAGATGATTTGTAGAATCCTCGGCCACATGCTAAGGGAGAAGAAGAAAAACTAAGATATACATTTGCATGTGCATCTGGCCTGCTTTCTTCTCCATTTCAGTTATATGTAGAGTGTACACTTCCACAGCAAATTACTTCAGCAAAAGCAAGGCATTGTGCTCAACTCCATCATGATAAATATATATTATTCTTCATCGTGTGCTATTAACTTGATTTTGTGGCATAAGCTGCAATGCAAACATACACTACAATTGGACCAGCAGCTGGCGGCAAAGTATTTTGACGGTGAAGACGAAAGAAATATGACAGCTAGGACCCAATTCTCCACTCAGACACACAGAAATCAATGAGAACTGGACCAGAACCTCAGCTGGTATAATCAGCACAGCTCCAGCTAAGCATCTGGCCTCAGAAGTGTGTATCTAAAGGCATGATGACCCCCTGGGTAAGTTAACTCAGCAAAAGTCAAAATACATTGAAAGTCTTAATAGAATAGAATGAAAATCACAGCTGCAATCAGTACCAGGACTTGTGTTATAGGTACACTGTGGTCCATTTGGTGGTATTTAGCTACACCCCTCAAGGAGAGGCACAATCCCTCCAAGGGTTTCCTAGTACACAGAGAAAATGTGCATTCTACCCCATTCTTTTGGATTAAGCAGCCTGCTTTCACCAGGGTGCCCAAAAAGCACCTTACGCCAGTAAGAAACGGATCCTGGTCCTTCTGGCTTTCCCTTCCCACCCCTTCCACTCTATCTGGGCAAGCAGCTCAGGGAGCACTCGAAAGGAACATTCCCCCTCATGTGCAGTCTGTGACTGTCCTGGACAATTGTTCCAGGGATACAAAGAGTGGGGAATGGCTCATTGGATCCCCACTCCCACCTGTGTGCACCCACTAAAGGGCTATGGACAAACTAGCCCATTGTGAAGTTACGTTTGTTTGCTTGCTTGCTTATTGTACTAGCTATTAAACTGTGATTTTTAAACACATTTTCAATCACCACCATTTATTTGCCATTAAACCTGAAGGGTTTCTTCAGGTATGTTGGCAACAAGAAGAAAGCCAAGGAATGTGTGGGCCCCTTACTGAATGAGGGAGGCAAACTAGTGACAGAGGATGTGGAAAAAGCTAATGTACTCAATGCTTTTTTTGCCTCTGTCTTCACTAATAAGCTCAGCTCCCAGACTGCTACGCTGGGCATCACAAAATGGGGAAGAGATGGCCAGCCCTCTGTGGAGATAGAGGTGGTTAGGGACTTTTTAGAAAAGCTGGACGTGCACAAGTCCATGGGGCCGGACGAGTTGCATCCGAGAGTGCTGAAGGAACTGGCGGCTGTGATTGCAGAGCCATTGGCCATTATCTTTGAAAACTCGTGGCGAACCGGGGAAGTCCCGGATGACTGGAAAAAGGCTAATGTAGTGCCAATCTTTAAAAAGGGAAGAAGGAGGATCCTGGGAACTACAGGCCAGTCAGCCTCACTTCAGTCCCTGGAAAAATCATGGAGCAGGTCCTCAAAGAATCAATCCTGAAGCACTTGCATGAGAGGAAAGTGATCAGGAACAGCCAGCATGGATTCACCAAGGGAAGGTCATGCCTGACTAATCTAATCGCCTTCTATGATGAGATTACTGGTTCTGTGGATGAAGGGAAAGCAGTGGATGTATTGTTTCTTGACTTTAGCAAAGCTTTTGACACGGTCTCCCACAGTATTCTTGTCAGCAAGTTAAGGAAGTATGGGCTGGATGAATGCACTACAAGGTGGGTAGAAAGCTGGCTAGATTGTCGGGCTCAACGGGTAGTGATCAATGGCTCCATGTCTAGTTGGCAGCCGGTATCAAGTGGAGTGCCCCAAGGGTCGGTCCTGGGGCCGGTTTTGTTCAATATCTTCATAAATGATCTGGAGGATGGTGTGGATTGCACTCTCAGCAAATTTGCGGATGATACTAAACTGGGAGGAGTGGTAGATACGCTGGAGGGGAGGGATAGGATACAGAAGGACCTAGACAAATTGGAGGATTGGGCCAAAAGAAATCTGATGAGGTTCAATAAGGATAAGTGCAGGGTCCTGCACTTAGGACGGAAGAACCCAATGCACAGCTACAGACTAGGGACCGAATGGCTAGGCAGCAGTTCTGCGGAAAAGGACCTAGGGGTGACAGTGGACGAGAAGCTGGATATGAGTCAGCAGTGTGCCCTTGTTGCCAAGAAGGCCAATGGCATTTTGGGATGTATAAGTAGGGGCATAGCGAGCAGATCGAGGGACGTGATCGTTCCCCTCTATTCGACATTGGTGAGGCCTCATCTGGAGTACTGTGTCCAGTTTTGGGCCCCACACTTCAAGAAGGATGTGGATAAATTGGAGAGAGTCCAGCGAAGGGCAACAAAAATGATTAGGGGTCTGGAACACATGAGTTATGAGGAGAGGCTGAGGGAGCTGGGATTGTTTAGCCTGCAGAAGAGAAGAATGAGGGGGGATTTGATAGCTGTTTTCAACTACCTGAAAGGGGGTTCCAAAGAGGATGGCTCTAGACTGTTCTCAATGGTATCAGATGACAGAACGAGGAGTAATGGTCTCAAGCTGCAGTGGGGGAGGTTTAGATTGGATATTAGGAAAAACTTTTTCACTATGAGGGTGGTGAAACACTGGAATGCATTACCTAGGGAGGTGGTAGAATCTCCTTCCTTAGAGGTTTTTAAGGTCAGGCTTGACAAAGCCCTGGCTGGGATGATTTAACTGGGAATTGGTCCTGCTTTGAGCAGGGGGTTGGACTAGATGACCTTCTGGGGTCCCTTCCAACCCTTATATTCTATGATTCTATGATTCTAAACAAACCACACTGTGTTTTCTGGCTTACAGAGCAAAACATTTATAAACCTACCTGAATGTGATTAATGGATATATTTTTAATCTTTACTTCAGTTAACTACTAGGGGGGAATCAACCTGCACAAGTTATTAAACAGATTATTTTCTAAGTAATCCTTCTTGCTCCCAAACCTGATGGAATGTTCCAAATGGAGGATGGCTGCATCATACTAAACAAAGGGAAATGCCACCAATGGTAAACAGATTATGACCCCATTCCACCTTAAGTGAAGAAGGTTACAGGGGCACACTTGCTAATATAGCAACCATGGTCAACAGAAAACATGCAAGAGTACAGAATTCCCCTGGAAACTTCTAATGAAACTCAGGCTCTTTCAATTGCACAGCTTCATTCAAGTTCTGTTCTCCAATAAATCAGGCAACCGCAGCACAGACAATTTAGCCTCTAAGGCCCTGCTTATGTGTGTAAAAAATCTATTGTGGGTGAAGCTGAATATCACGTGTTAAAATCTTCACAGGGAAAAACTAGTTAAATAGTCCTTATAAATCCACAGAGAAAGCATTTGCTCTGGTAACATCCACATTGATTGGGGAGGTTGTCTCACAGCAGATATTGAGTTACTGATACTTAAAATATTTACATGTAGTTTTGGAGATCAGATACCACAGTGATGGGCACAGTCTAAAAACACTGGGCCTCATTCAAAACCCACTAGAATCAATGAAAAAAAGAGTCAGATGAACTTCAGTGGGCTTTATATCGGGTGCATTGTAATGTAGTAGCCATACTATTCCACTTAATATATATGAGCACTATGCAACCCTGCTATAAATTATACAGGTCAAATTTTCCTCACTCGGACTGATAAAATCCACTCTTGATTTAGTTCATTACAGAGGAAACAAATGAAAAATTCTCTGAAGATTTACTTCTGATTTTTTTTTAATTTTCTAAAGAAAAAGCAGGTCCAAAAGACAATAATCATAATGATATTTTGGAGTTTGTCCTGTTTAAATGTAGGGGTTCTAAGCCAAATGATTGGCTTGCCTTCAATAAAATTGCATTAATTTACCTCAGAAGAGAATTTAGCCCTATGTTTTGAAAATATATGTTCTCTTTCATTGATTGTATCACTGCAGGGTAACATATGATTATGCCAAATATAGCACCACTAAAAAACAAACATCTAATGAGAACACCTTAGTACGCATTCATCAGAGCATTTTGGAACAAACATTTGGATAAACTTGACTTCTTGAGGTTTCAGATGATGCTAGGAGTTCAAATTTAATGCGGAATTAGTCTTTTTCATCCTCTTTCAAGATTATTCTAAGATTTCCAGGTCAAGGGTGAAGAGCACTGACGCTAAACTGTTTTGTAAACATGAACTATAAATAAATATTAATGCATTAAACTTAGGTCTATTATTCCAGCACACTCAATTAAGATCCAGCCACCTGACCAAATAATAAGTTTCCTGTCTTGTCTTAGCTAGTCAAGTTCCACAGAAGATGAGAAAAGCACTGGACAAACACACTGCATCTTCCAGCATGCCGCCCTCTGCAGAGCAAAGAGCAACTTGAAAGGCACAGATGCCTACTGTGAATCCAGTCTGTCCCTCTCGGCAGGGAACATTTCAAAGCAAAGATGCCAAAAGAAAATAGAGATTTCAGACAGAAACAACAAAACAAACAGAAAACCCCTTTACATTTTTTTTCCTGATGGCTTGATCTAGACATTTATATGCTCAGTCACTTGTTATTTAAAGTAAGTGTGCATTTCTTATTATAGTTCAAAGGATTTGAATGTCTGCTACTAGTCTAAGTGAAATCTCTATTCTTCTGCAGTGCATACCAGAGGCAGCAGGATCAGACACTCATTGTATCATACTACTATCTCCATCATCTTTAGTTCTAATAAGAGGCCCATGTGATGGCATTTAATTACTATTCCTTTGACTTAAGCACCCCATAAATATAGAGCAACATTATTCCTGCAATGCACTCCTTAACAACCTTAAAAAGGTGCTTTCAACTGATTCTACCACAAAGTCTTAATAGCAAATTGTCACCAATATCACACACAAAAAGGTTTTAAGAAATTTAAAAAGGGATACATTCAAGGTATCATACGTTATATTAAAAAGGGCAATGCTCCTCTTTTTCTGGTGGAATTAAAGAAACAAATTAGCTTATTGTTAT